TAGAACAGATCTGACCGGTTGAGAAGTAGCCATTTGTATTAGCAATTGAGAAAAAAGTGTGTGACGTTCGTAATTTTGAAGTTGGCTATTTCTGTTTTGCTTCTTTCTTTATGTGTATTTTGTCGGTGGTTTATTTCAGTGATTTTTTGTGCAAATGTAATTAAAATGAAGTGCGCGGTGATTGAATGCAAAAACACATACATAAATAATAAATTGGTTAGCACAAACATATGCACAAAATTGCTTGCATTTTTTCTTTATGCTTCCTTTTCATATTCTTTGTTTACTTTTCACAGAAAATAACATGGCGCCGAAATTACAAACGTCAGCCAGAAAATCACTTTTTTGTTTTGCTCCATCTTGTCAGATCTTGTGTAGTTTGTTTTTACAGGATCATAGTGAAATAAATATTAACTTATAAAAGTTTGCTTAGCCAAAATACTTCTCTTTTTAGAAAGTTTAAAAACAAACACAAGTTACACAAACAAAACAGGATTTACCATTAACATATGTATGTATTTTGGCCTAAATGCGTGCATATTTGAATATGACGTCGGCATCACACTAAAAAACAAAATTTCTAATTCAAATTAAAAAATTCCAATAATTTCAAAATAATTGGTAGATATGATCGATAGTCCTACTAAACTATCGATACTTTCGATAGTATAAGAAAAAACTATCAATGAGTATTGATATTCCTAAAAACATTGAAACTATCGATACTATCGATAGTGCCATCGATAGTTTGACAACTCTATTATCGAACACATTTGACATTTCAGGAGAACACGCATTCTTCCTATTTCGTGAAAGAAAATTATTTATTTATTTTATCAGCTCTTCCAGTTGCGGCGTGAAGAGTCATCATGACACCTTTGACACAAAATGGAATTGAAGAGGCATTCGCTAGTGAGGATGCGCTAAAGCATGCAGCCACCAAAGTTAGTACTAGTAAGTGCACACACATTCTATCAGCAAGATGAGATTTTTGTTTTTACTTACAATCCTAATCCACGCTTAGATATCATCAATGGCGTCTATGATATATCACATGTTGTGGAGCAAATGGGTTTTGCTCTGACTTCACCAACATTAGAGCAGCGCGTTAATGGAACGAAGCTTCTTTCTTTTGTGCTGCAAGGTTTACCCAAGGACTATCTCGATAGAAAGCAACTAGAGTTCGTTGCTGATTTTTACACGGATCGGTTGAAAGACCAACATAGTGTGTTACCTGCTGTGATCGATGGCATCCATGCATTAGTGGAAATGAAGGAATTGCCCGCGGAATGTGTGCCGAAAATTTTGAATACATTCTTCAAACACACCTCTTGCCAGTCACATCAACGTGCTGAACGGGGGAAGTGGTTTAAAATTTTAAAATTCTTAGCAGAGCAGTATGAGAAAGGTAGACTTTTCAAGTAGTATACGAGCTTAAATAATATTAGATTTGTTTAATTTTGTATTTTAGAGCTAAAGCAAATGTCTGGCGATTTTATGTATGGATTGATAAATTCTATTGATGGCGAACGCGATCCCCGAAATTTAGATTTTATCTTCACTTTCATGCCTGACTTGATAAAACGCTTTTCGCTTTTACATTTGGGCGAAGAAATGTTTGAAATATTTGCCTGTTATTTCCCAATTGATTTTACTCCGAGTCGCGAGGATCCCAGCGATATTTCGCGCGACAATTTGGCTGCCAAACTAGCGGACTGTTTGGTAGCATCACCTGAATTTATTGAGTGGGTAGTACCATTGGCATTGGAAAAGTTGGAGAGTGATTTAGTCGTCGCGAAACTGGACTCGTTGGACCTACTTGTGAGAGGCCTTTGCGTATTTTATTATGTACAATTATTAATATATTCAATTACAGCGTAAATCAGCACTTAAGTTTACACCGAAACTATTATCTCAGCATTTTGAACCCATCTGGACGGCATTAAAGAACGAAATATTCCCTGGTGGTGATAATACAGATATTTTTTCGGGTGGCCTTGTGCTATTGCGCACAATTTTGGAGCAGGCATGCTCAACTCCAGATATTAGCCATAGTTACCAAACCACTGTCCTAGGCACCATTTTGCCGCACCTAAGCGATGTCAACCAGCGCCTCTACAATCCGTCGGCGGCAATTGCATTGGTTTGCGTTGCGGGCGATCCGCTTTTTGCAAGCGGTCGTATACTTAACACTTTTCTATTGAAACTTAACACCAAAATAGCAAGTACTGACCGAGAGGGCAAAGAAGAGGCGTCCACAGATACCTCCTCCTACAACGAAGAGCAACGGATCAAAGTGTATACGATAATCGCTCAACTTTTCAAGATAGCTGCCTTACGAAATTGTTTGGAGCAGCTCAACAAAGAGACGTGTGAACAAATACACGCTGACGTTATTGGAGTTTTACGCCTAAAAATAAACTCCGATGCCCAAGAACAAAATATCGACCTAAAACACGCTGCGCTAAGTGTGCTTACCGAAAGTGTACCTGTGATCAGTGAACCAAAGCGCGCGCTCCTTTACAAAGTGCTCCTACAACTTGTTACACATGATTCACTTGAGTTGCGATGTATAGAACTTCTGGAGTTATTGGGCGCTTGCCATCCCGTCGAAGTGCAGTCAAATTGCATCGATGTGCTAGCACGCAACTTTTCTATATATCCGAATTTCGTAAAGCGCAAAGTATTCCAGCATTTGCTACCTTTAGTGGTACAAGCAGCATTTACATCGCGCGTACTTGATTTGGTGTGGTACTACGCTTTCGGACATGATATACCACATGATGTGCAACTAATCGCGCTTGAAGCGCTTAATATGCTTTTAAATAGCAATGACAAATGTCTCATCGTTGAACTGCAGACCAATAATTGCCTTATTGCCAAGCTAGTTGCATTGGCTTTGGGGCCCGCACCACTTACCATACCCGTGTTGGAGCAAATAGCAGCAGCACTTTGTCGTATCGAACAACATTTGTCTGTTTCAGAACAATACATAATTGCAACTGAGTACCTGTCCCAGCTGAAATTGCAGTCTGCAGCCCACTTATATGTGGCTAAAGGGCTACTAGGTCGCTTGCATCAAGACATAACACTAGATGACTTCCTGGAGTGGCTACTGAGAGATTTGACGCAGGTGTCATTAAGCACTGACGAAGTGGATGATAAGAAAGAAAACATACGCACCGTTGCACGCCAGTTGCTTTGCAGCCTGGTTAACCGGATAGAAGAAAACGAAAAAAATCGTTCGAATTTAAATAAGATTTTAGCGATGTTGAAAAATCAAATTAAGGATGAAAACGCATTCGCTGTAGAGACACTAGCATGGTTGGCCAAAGGACTAATTGTATGCGGCAGCGAGCTAATAGCCGAAATTATTGAAACAGTGAGAGAATAGCGAAGAATAGCCTTTAAATAGTCGATTAACTATGTTTTTATTTTTTTAGCTTACCGAACTGTTGGACCATCCCACCTTGGCCTCGNGGCTGTAGAGACACTAGCATGGTTGGCCAAAGGATTAATTGTATGCGGCAGGGAGCTAATAGCCGAAATTATTGAAACAGTGAGAGAATAACGAAGAATAGCCTTTAAATAGTCGATTAATTATGTTTTTTTATTTTTTTAGCTTACCGAACTGTTGGACCATCCCACCTTGGCCTCGGGTGCAACTACCGCGTTTGAAATAATAGCTGCAGAATGTGATGAGCTATTTCTAACTAGAGTAAAATTTCTATACAAGCAAAAGCTTTTCGTTGTGGTTTTGAACAAGTTAGGCGCTAAGCTAGAAGCACATTCCGAACGTCATCTTATTGCTTTTATATATGTGTTGAAAAGTGCGCCTCATGTCGTGCAGAAAATGAACATTGAGAAGGTTTGTTGGAATTAAATGCGCACATATATAATTCCAGAAAATTATTATCACCTTTTATTTCAGATTGGTCCATTGCTATTTAAATCGCTTGAANATTAGGCGCTAAGCTAGAAGCACATTCCGAACGTCATCTTATTGCTTTTATATATGTGTTGAAAAGTGCGCCTCATGTCGTGCAGAAGATGAACATTGAGAAGGTTTGTTGGAATTAAATGCGCACATATATAATTCCAGAAAATAATTATCACCTTTTATTTCAGATTGGTCCATTGCTATTTAAATCGCTTGAATACGATCACACCAATATGCTGTGTATTTCTCTAGATATTTGTGAGCGATTTGTCGCAGCAGGAGATGAATACTTTCTTAGACATTTGAATCATATGATACCGAGCTGTTTACAGTTAGCAAAATACCAAAAATCTATGGTAAGTGCAAAACTGCAGAGGTACATACATAAATATAATAAGGTTTGCAAGGTGCTGGAATTCCAAAGATTTTCACAATTATTCCGTGAGAAAAATTCACTTTTGTGTTTATATTTGTCCGGTTTCTCAGCCAAAGGACATTGTTTAAACGACTATTTGGATTGAAACCCGTAAAAATGCTATCACTTTTTTATATTTATATTATCGTTCTCCTTATATAACTTGCAGAAAGTGCGCATCGGTGCTTTAAATCTTCTACACGATATTACCAAATATCCAACGCATGTGCTGTTAACGCATAAACTTGATGTCGTGCTGGAACTGGCGGTACCATTAGATGACCGTAAGCGGTTAGTTCGCAATGCAGCTGTTCGTACGCGAAACGCCTGGTATTTGGTGGGTACAAACGCTGCCAGCGAGTAAATGCACAAGTGGCCGCTGTGATTCATCGGACGGATACGCTATTTTTTCGTTTTTTTTTTTTTATTATTTAGGTTCGATTTACTATAAAGTTCATATAGACAAGTACAATAACATAGTAGTAAAATAGACAAAAACAAATGCAAAGACGTAAATATCTAAATATGCGTGTTTGTATACGCGAAAGAGTTTAAAAAACAGCTCTTAATTTGTAAATACATTTTACAAGGAACTGATAAATAAAAAAATAAAAAAATCGTTTCAAAACACATTAAAACGCGTAATTTTTAGTTGGCTAAATCGTTAATATTTATTCCAAAACTACGAATTTGAACAAATTTTTGTTACTTATATCAATATGAAGCATTTCAAAAACGTATTCACTTTGCCACAGGTCACCTGGAGTGATAGTGGGCTACAAAACATATGCAAATAAATTTCGCAAATGTACACACTTGTGTATGAAAGTATATATGTATGTGTGTAAATGAGCCCATGTCGTTGCGGTACCATAGAACCGACTATTATTATGGGAACGCTTGTGATCAGATCGCTGATGGTCGAGTGTGTGTTTGTTTGCATTTTAGGTATGTATGTTTTTGTACATATGCTAGCATGCCTAACGCTAGTACGGGTGGTCACACAGTGCACGCGCCATAAGCGCACATTTCTGCGCGCGCTGCACCATATCCGGACAACGTTGCTTGCGTACCAAACGGCAGTCTTGAAAGAACCCTTCATTGCGGGGAAAGCCGTGTGTGAAATCGCGAAACGTTAGCAGGCCGAATCCCCAGATTTTGCCACCACGAAATTCACCCTCAAATTTCATGCCATCGGAACGCCAAAATATGCCGAAACCATGAAACCAGCCTTGCATAAATTCTCCCTCGTATCTATGTATGTGTAAGGTGAACAACAAACACATTAATTTTACAATTTTCGCCTATGTCGAAGTGATATCCTTGCTTACTTGGCTCCATCAGAAAACCAAAGGCAACCAAGGCCATGACTCACACCATCGTGGAATTGGCCATCGTAGCGCGTACCATCGGGAAATTGTAAATGTCCGACGCCATGTTTTTGGCCACGCTGATCCCATTCACCAATGTAACGTGTAGAGTCCTCATATCGCCAACCACCGACCTTCACAGCGCCAAACGAAGTGTTGTGGTCTTTGCGCTGGCCACCCGTTAGGCCAGCAGCGCCGCGTCGTACTTCGCCTACAACACCTGCAATAACAACGAGGTCAGGCAATTGATTGGAATAGTAAATGATTGAAGTTTTTGTTGATGTGAGCTTACTTTGATCCTCGTAGTCGTCCATGCTGGCCTATGGGTTTGCTTTTGTGGAAGCTGTTAAAAGTTTTATTGAATTATTTTTAACTAAAATGCAGAGTGCAATGAAAATGCAATGTAAACTGACTGCTAAATGCTGCTGGAATGGAAAGCAGTGAAAATCCACTCAAATTCTTAAGTGCCGCACTACACTTGATTGTGTAGCTCACATCGGTTTACTTAGAACAGAGCTGAGGCAAACAGTATATTGTGACCAAACACCAAATTTCGTTTAGGTAAAATTGTATAGTCAATTAACACAAAAGCTTAATTCCTAAACATATTTCATATATTAAAAAGAAATAATATACATCAATTTAGTTCCGAATATAAAATACATATTAGAGATCTTCAAGAGAATTCGATGAATATTTTTAAAGTAATTGTGAAAGAAACACTAAACAATTTAATAAACTAAAATATGATTTAGCCTAGTTTAGCGAACAGCAAGTACCACATTAACGCCCAGTAATGATTCTACTTGTTTGGCTTCGCAGCTAGCAGCAACATTCGAGTGGTTTTCCGCATCCAAATCTAATTAGCATATACGACTGGAAAGCGTCAATCTTTTCTCAAGTTTCTTACGCTTTTGCTCACCTTTTCAGTGACTACTTGACACTTCGGTTGAATGCCACATTGGGTGAGCACAGCGAACAACAGCAAACTAAATAATTTCCGGTCCTGGGACAAAATCCATGAAGCTTGATGAATGCAAGTACTGGAGGGGTAGTATGACAGAAGAGATGTTTGGAAACTTTTGGTCGAAGAGTGAAACCAAATGTTGGATTGTTGTAGCAGCATAAAACTTTTTGTCGAATACTGTTCATGGGGCAGTCCTTGGTCAAAGGTACGTAAATCTGTGCCGTTCCTGTTAGAATGGTCATCATATGCACGATTGTTTCAGAAATGGAAGTTTTTTTCCGCCTCCGCTTTACATGGGAACGAGCAAATTACTATTNCCGGTTTCAGTGGTGTCGGAGTTCGTCTGAAAAGTTGTTTCAATTATTGCCAGCAATTGACAGATTTCGTGAGCAAGTATCTTTAATTACCGGCAGGTGGAGATGCCGGGAAGTGCTATCATATTGCCTATATGTGCCCGTGTATTTTGCTTCGAAATTGCGCTGCGAAAATTTACCAGATACGAGTATGCTTATGTAGTGTCTGTGAATCCTCTGTGTCGGCTACCAGCTTCTATATGCATCATTGCTCAGGTCACAAACGCGTGAAT